AGCCACCTTCCCAGCCCATGTAATCAATTTTTAAGAAAAGCAAAGCACTGATGGATTACATGAAAATTGATGACTATCCCACCAACTGTTTAAGCTAAGTGGTGCAAAACAAGTCTAGCATATTGTTTAATAGAATGTGTCATCTATTCAGCCTTTTTATGTTTAATAATTAACAAACCTAAGACAGGGCTGTACTTATATTGTACTCTTTTTATTTTTTCCATATATTTTCAAGTCCCTTTGAAACCATCCTAAAAACTACTTCCAGGTTGAGTCAGGCATTCTCCATTTTCTATCATTTTAATCCCAATATTTGTTCACATAAATTTCTAATTGTTATTTTAAACTATCTTATTGTTGTTTTGATAATAAACACCATAATGGTCTAGACCTACCTAATCTTTGTATAAAATGTAATGAGTTCCAACATACCCTTTTTCCTTTTACATAAATCCATCAATTTTCATCTTTATAAGCTCCTGTATAAGGCAATGGTTCATCGGTCGGCTCAGAATTGTGATGTCACTCTTTATATTTTGTGGGAAACCACCATCTATTCCCTGTAATGTAAGCTGGACCAAACTTAGTCATAACTATTGGGGGAATCTTTCTTTCCTTTTATTATCAGGGGTCCTTTTTCTAGAACTCTCTGAGCTTCTGGGATAACTTCTTCTAGCTTAGTTTGATTCATTAATTCTGCCTTTTATAACATATCTGGAAATTTTAAGTCTCTATATTTACTATGCGTGAGCCGCAAAACTGTTTGTGAAGTTGTAGGAGTTTCTGGAGGCAGCGTCACATCAGATGATTGATTGGGGCATTGCCCACATTTAATCTTTAGTCCTAGTCTTTATTATTCAGAGAAGCCGTTTCTATTGGATTAGAAAGAAACAACATGCTCTGTTCGCAGATCAATAGAAAAATAGCCAAAATGAGAATAAAGGCAACAAATGTACAGCCAAGAAGAATATAATAAGAATAAAGGTAAAGGCTATAAAGGTGCAGCCAAGTGTCTGGGAAGCCTTGAACCAACACCCCCTTCCTGCAGACATGCTTCCTTGAAGCTCTTTGTCTAACGCCATCTCTCACGCAGACTCTGCAGGAGGTGGCGTAGCAACCCAGCATCCTAGGATCCGCACTCCTTGTCGGATGTCCTCACTCTCCGGTTGCCAAAGGTGACAGGGCCTGAGCCCCACCTCAGGTGGCGGTGGAGCAAACAGCCTCCTCCTTAGCCAGAACCGTGGCCAGACCCCAGACCACGGAGCCCGCTCCTCACAGAAGCAGGTCATGCTTCTCTCCATCATCAAACCCACGTGGAACTCAGCTTCCACACAACAGAGCAGGTGCACACCGACAGGAAGCCCATAGCAGTGAGAGATGACTGCCCATCTCCTGCCCGCTACCCGGGGCTGCCCAGGGGCAGTGTGGCCCTTGGCAAGCTAGCCGCCTCTGGGTCCTCTGTGGAGCCTGGAAGCTGAAGCGCTGAGTGCTGAAGTTTTCCAGGCGTGAGAGGCACTAAGTGAAGTGCTGCATGCTGGGCTGGGACCCGCTCCCCTCCAGCCACCAAAGGGTCAACAGAGAGCACCCCTCACTTGATTCCTGTGGCTCAGTCTCCCGGATAAGGGGAACACAGTGAACTCCTAACATGTCACAAAGGGCGAGTGTGCAGGGCACACTCCCAGACCCACCAAGCTCCTCAGCAGCGCCCCCCGGGGGTGCCAGGAGGAAAACACACTGCAGAGCCCTCATTCTCCGCAGACTTCTCTGAGGGGTCAGGATTCCAGGCGTGAGCCACTGACACCCAGAAAAATTAGGATATTTTGCTGAGTCCACAAGCCAATGCTCTCAGATCTACCCTTTGAGAGCTGTAATTTCTACTGGAATTAAGATTGCTTTGGTTCCCATAGTGATTTTATTTTTTAAGCTGCATGCTGGTTTTTGAGCCAGGACATGTGGTTTGCTGTCCTAACTTGCCAGGAAGGGACGTGTTCAGGAAGGAAGTCTGAGCGACTTACAGCCTTCGGGTGACAAAGCTGGGCAGAATATTTTTCGTGTGGCACCTCCCACAGACCCCTGCCACCCCTAGGACCCACAGAGTCATGGGGAACCCCTCACCCCAAGTGCAATGTTGCCTCTTGTCCCCAGCCATCCGCATGAAGCCAGCCGGGCCAGACAGCCCTGTGCGGCCGGAAAAGGTGGCTGACACTCAGGGTCTCCCTGGTCCCTGGCGATAGGGAAGTGCTCGCTGCCTGGTTCTGGTATTTCTGTCCAATCCAAGGCCCAGGAGGGGGCCCGGTCATCCTCTCCAGCACCACGCGCTCTCCTCGGGAGAGGCGTGCCACCTTCCACGGGAAACCAGACTGCGTATGCCCAGCTATGCCTCCTCCCGTGCAGTCATGTCACTGTGTGCCCGCCAGGGGCCACGGGGCCCGGAAAGACTGCCAGCTGTGCCACCTGATGGCTTAGTCAGAGGTGGCTGTGATAGCAGCCCGGGGCGGGGTGCGCCTGGCCCGCCAGGGAGAAGTCCCCACAGCTCACGCCTGCGTCTCAGGCACCCAGGAGGCTGAGATCTGAGACTCACAGCTCGAAGCTGGAACAGGCAGCAAACTCTGTGAGCTACTAATCTCCAATTCACCAACCAGAAGCTGAAAATGGAGCTACGACTAGAGTGGTAAAGCACTACCCTTGAGCAACAGAGCTCAGACCACGCCCAGGCCCTGGGTTCAAGCCCCAGTACCAGCCCAAACGGGGGGGGGGAGGGGGAGGAAAGGAAAAAGGGAGAGAGGGAGAGAGACAGAGGGAAAGAGAGAGGAACGAGAGACAGAGGAAGGGGAGACAGAGAGACAGAGACAGGAGAGACAGAGGGGCACGGAGTCCACAAGCAGAACACCAGGGGGACTGGAGAGGGAGGCGAACGGTGCGCGCCGCCGGGAGGGGGCGCTCTAGCGCGGCCCTGCCCCTGCACGCGCGGCCGCCG